GCTATGCCCCGGGAGTTCAAGGTTGAATTCATTCATTCACCCCACAGTGACATTGTAGACTGGGCTCTGCAGAGCCTTGACAGGGTCAGTGACTTCTGTCTGCGTCTCCAACTGCGTCTCGCGCTTGTGCATGTTCATGGTTCATAGTTTCTCTCTCTCACTCTCTCTTTAATTATTGAATTTGTTATTTCTTTACTGAGGGAAAAACGTGGACATGAGCTTTCATCTGTGATTCTTGTAAGTACTATCTAAAACAAAACTTGAAAATAAAGATCTTTGACTTAGGAAGCTGGGATAAAACTTGACAGAATTCTTTCTGAGGTTCTGCCATCAATCGTGCAGCTCAGACCACTGAGAGTGCTACTGATGCAGGCTGGGCGGGGTGGTCCAGCAGCAGAATGAGGGAGAACCCAGAACCAAGCCCACTGTCACCCAGTCGATCCCAGTTCATAGCAATCCGAACTCAGGGCCAAGGGAGGAGTGTAGCTACAGGGCCAGCCACGGGGCCTTACGTCATGCCAAAGGGGTTCTGTTTATCCTCCGGGAGGGCCATGATCTCAGCAGCCGATCCATGCAGAGAGCTAGTCTCTTAGAGAGAGTGGGTCCCTTCCTGGGGTGGGCTCTGCCACGGGTGGGTGGGTGGGTTCTGTCAGGAGCGAGGGTGCACTCCGTGGGGGAGGTGGGTCCTGACACAGGGTGGGTCTGTAGTCATGGCATAGGCTCTGTAATCAGGGTGCGTTCCGTCAGGGAGTGCCACAGTTCTGTTGGCACCGTGGGTTCTGTCCCCTCCAAGAGGTAAAGCAGCAGACCCACAGCTGCGTCTTAAACTCACCTCCCACGTTGGAACCCACCCTAGTGAGGAGGTGGGGCATTTGCTGGGGATTTCCCTGGGAACTGAGCACACCTGCTAAGGGCAGCCCTTTCCCAGGGCGAGAGCGGCTCAGCCATGTCTGGATGGGGAGCGGCCGCCTAAGGGCAGAGAAGGTTCTCCTCGATGGCTGTGGTGTCCAGGGGCTGTGTCTGAGAGAGGCTGCCTGGCCACCTTGCCGTCAGGGACACCCCACCTGCTCTCTGCTGGTCCAATCTAACCCCAACATCCTACCAGTCTGTTCAGATCCCAAGTGAGTTCTGGGCACCCAAAGATTCCTTCCTTCCTTTAGCTAATATGTATTGAGGGTGTACTGCTTACCAGATTCCAGGTGGTGGGGAAGGTTTCATGTATACACACACACACACACACTGCTGCTGAGTTGACCACAGCCAGCCGTGTGCATCAGAGTAGAATTGTGCCCCACAGAATGTTCAGTAGGTCAATCACCAGACTTTTCTTTTGAGGCGCCCCTGGGTGGACTCAAGCCTCCAAGCAGGGCTAGGAGCTGAGTGTGTGAACCATCTTCACCACTCGGGGACTTCATTTTCTTCATCCAACAAACCCCCCTCGTTGCAATTACCTAAGTCAATTCTGCTCATGGCAACCCAGTAGGACAGGGTAGAACTCCTCCATTGGTTTCTGGTCGTTATAGAAGCCTCATGGTTCTCCCTTGGGGGTGCTGATCGGCCACCCTTTGGGGTAGCAGCCATCATGGAACCCACGATACCACCGGGGGTTCCGTTTCCATCGCAGCAGTGAAGAAGCAGAGCATTCACTTAGCGCGAACAGGAGGGTTGGAGCGGAAATGGGGTGTCTCTGAGTGAGGCTGTGGTGTTAGAGAACGGCCAAGGAATGTCTGGGTGACAGGGTCCTGTGTGAGTCAACACCGGTACTGGGAGGAAGTAAAACCCCAGAGATCTCGGGTAGTCATTTCAGCAAATGCCACAGCCCGGTGAGCGCCTGGCTGCCAGGCTCCAGGATGGCGAAGGGGCAGAGTGGCTAGAGAAGGGAGATAACCAGAGATAGGTGCTCGAGGCCACTGGGAAGGACCAGGACTTCGCTCCTGGGAGCAGAAGCCTGGTGCAATCTCAACCAGATTTTAATTCCACCCTTCTTACCATCGTGTTGAGTAGATGAGGCCTGCCTTGGGTGACCCCTGGGGGTGGGGTGCTCCAATGGGACACCGGGTTAAGAGAACCATATTGGAGTGGTCTCCATTCCAGAGGAATCCCTATGTCTATCCGCCTGGGGAAATTAGGGAGGGCTTCCAGGAGGAGGTGGCATTTATTCAAGCTGGGCTATCTAGAACAGGGGTTTGGTTTGAGACAGAAGTGTCCCTCACAAGAATTTAAAAATTGCTTGCGAGCCATGAATCTAATTTTACAAACAAATGAAGTCACCATTTATCTGAATCATATCCTTTAAATGAAACTATATCTTTTTATTATCCATTTTCCTTCAGAGTCACATGTACCTACTGAAAAAGCCCCATGCGGCCCCAGAGCCACACCTTGCTGCCCCTGCCTGTAGGGAAACAAAACCAGAGGGGTGTGGGTGTGCGTGTGCATGCATGTATGTGTGTGTGTGTGTGTGTGTGTGTGTGTGTGTGTATGTGTGTGTGTATGTGTGTAAAGAGGGAGGAATTCATCTCAAGAAAATGGCCCACACAGTTGGAGAAGTTCAAGTCTCATCCAGTTCAAGTCTGTGGATCGGATTTGAAGTTGGTACTTCTGAATTGCATAGCTTCAGGATACTGAGCTTAAGGACGCCTCAGTCTGACATCAGCCTGCACAAGTCAGCAGGTCAGGTCAGAGAGCTGGCCACTGATGGCTCCCAGGATTGGCAGGCCATATGGCAGGCTGTTGACTCAAGTCCAAAGAACTGGAGGTCAGTGAGCCAGATGCAGGATCAGACCCAGCAAAAAGCAGGTGAACAAGCTTTCCCGCGGTGTCCACTTATATAGGACAGAGGTAACACCCCTAAGGAAACTTCCTTTCCACCACACCAGGGCTGCGACTCCACCCTAATCTTCTGAAAATGACCCAGCTGATTGAAGCAGACCCCCATCGTGGAGTTGATGGCATTGTTAGGCTACATCGTGGGGGATTACTGGGCCTGAATCTCGCCAGACCCTGGAGAACCCTGCCCCTGCCAAGTTGACACAAAACCTAACTGTCACGTTGTCTTGAAAGAATGTAGGCATCCGCCAGGCACGGGGAATCAAATGTGCAGAGGCGTGTGCTGTCACTCAAGGAGCCTGGTGGTGCCATGGGTGAGCGTTTGGCTGCTAGCTGAAAGGTCAGAGGTTCAAACTACCCGTGGGTGGCTCCCTGGGAGAAGATGTAGCTTTCTACTTCCATGGAGATGATAGACAAGCCTGCTGAGTCCTGTAGGGCTGCTAGGAGCTGGGAACAGGAGAGCGGCTAGTGACTCGACTCAGCTCATTTCCATCCTGCAGTGCCAGCTAGGCGGGAACATCGCCGCCAGCTTACATCCGGGGACCACTAGCTAGCCATGCCTGAGGACTAAGCCCTGGAGACCCCAGACACAGTGACAATACATGCTGTGAATGATACAGCGGCAGAGCCACAAAAGCAGGCAAGGCTCCCCTCTGCGATGATGGGAATGTTCTGGAACCAGATTGTGGTGATGGTGTATACCATAATATTGTGTATTGAGTTGTCCACTTGGAAATGCTAAGGGTGGTGAATTTATTTGATGCGTATTTTACCATTAAAAATTACGGAAGGAAAAACACAGGGCTGTCAATCCCAGGAGCCCTGGTGGCGTAGTGGTTGTGTGTTGGATTATAATCCTCAAGGTTAGCAGCTTGAAACCATTAGCTGCTCCTTGGGAGAAAGACCAGGCTTTCTACTCCCTTAAAGAGTGACAGTCTTAGAAGCCCACAGGGACAGCACTGTCCTAGAGGGTCGCTCTGGGTCAGAATTGACTCGAGGGCAGGGAGAGAGGGAGTCAATCCTGAGGATGACCTGAACCCTCAGAGGAGGGAAGGTCACCATTTGGATGTCATTCACATGTTCTTCCGCTTTGTGCTTGGGTTAGATCCCAGAATCCTTGGGGACCATGCTCTCCTCCAGTCCCAAAGAATCTACGAGCCAAGGAGGAGTGAATTCATGGATCCCATCTTGGTTATTGTTCCTGAAGCGCTGATGGCACACACAGTTGAGCAGGCAGCTGCTGACCAGAAGGCTGGTGGCATGAGCCCTCTGGTGTCATGGTGGATTTCACAGTGGGTTGCTAATGACAGAGTCAGCAGTTCAAGCCCATCAGCTGCTCATGGGGTAAAGACGAGGCTCAGGAACCCAATGGGGCCCTTCTACTCTGTCCTAGAGGCTTGCTTTGAGTCAGAACCTACTCCGCAGCGGTAAGCTGGCCTCTCCTCCCACAGAGACGGCAGCCGAGAAAGCCCTACGGGACAGTGCTGCTGGGGGGGGGTGGGGGGGCTCGGAGTCAGCTCCAACTCAACTGGCAGCCAACAACAGCAGCCCCCAGGACTCTTTCAAGGCAGATGTTGCCCTTATTCTACAAAGGAGGGTTTTAGAGAGACCAGGCCACTACCTGAGGTCATGCAGCTGCTGAGTGGCAAGGATGGAGTTTGCTCCCAAACTGGGTTCTTTCCATTACAACTGAGTTCAAGTTGAGGTTGTGTTAAGCAAGTTAAGTGCTCAGAATGTCATCTTCCTTGTGTATCTAATGGAGTCAATACATCCACCCCATCTTCTCCTGGTGAAGATTCAAGGAGCCATGTGTGCAGAAGTCACTGGCACATCCTAAGTGTGGGGTTGTCACCATTCCTGTTAGTCCGAGCCCAGCCAGGGACATGCTGCGGTGAAGGAAGAGTTGAGAAACCCACTGGGGGCACTCTGAGGCAGTCCAGGTCAGAGCGACCCCACGAAGGCCCTCCAGTGAGAGAAACAAGAAGAGATGGGTTCGTCAGAGTCCAGAAGCCAGGCTGTGCAACTGAAGCTTGGGCCACAGAGTGAGGGACCTCCCATGAGGTGTTAGAAGCCTGGAGATGGCTCAGCAGCTGCCAGAAATGTTGTATGTGGTAGAGGTGGTTGTGGATGAGGAGGAGGAGGTCGTGGTGAGGGTGATGGTGGAGGTTGTGATGGGGGTGGTGGTGATGAAGGTGGTATTGAGGGTGATGGTGAAGGTTGTGGGGGAAGTGGTGGTGGTAGTGGAGGTGGTGAGGGTGATGGTAGAGGTGGTATTGGTGGTGGTGTTGGTGATGGTGGTGGATAAGGAGAAGATCGAGTTGGTGGTGAGGGTGATGGTGGAGGTGGTGGTGGTGGTGAGAGTGGTGGAGGTGGTGGTCGTGGGTG